CTATGGAGCATCCCCTGGGCTTGGAGGGACGCCACCTTCCCAGAACAATGTGCAGGCTCTGCCACAGCCTGGTGCCTTCCAGAGGGCATGCCAGCCTTCCCCAGCCAGCCAGCCCTGCTCGGAACCTGTGAGGCCTGCACAGGAAGTAGAAGAGAAGACCTGGCTGCCCAGCTGCAGGAAAGAGCAGCTCCAGGCTCAGCTCAGTGAGCACTCTGGGCCGCCCATCGTCATCAGAGACAGTCCAGTTCCTCATACCCCGCCAGCACTGCCCCCCTGTGCCCGGGAGTGCCAGTCTCTTCCACAGAAGGATGGTACGAGGCCACCCAGCTCTCCACCAATGCCTGTTATTGACAACGTCTTCAGCCTGGCCCCCTACCGTGACTATCTGGATGCACCTGAGGCCATAGCTGAGCCTGACCCTGCCACAGACGAGCCTGACTCAGCCCTAGCCACCGATGAAAGCCAGGACAAAGGCTGCAGGGGGTCCCTGCCCGCCCAGGAGGACCCCTCAGGGAGTAAGCCCTTAAGGGGCTTTCTTAAGGAGGACGTAGCCCTGGACTTGAGTATGAGGAGGCCCACAACAGAGGCCTCCCCTGTCAAGGCTCCCAGTCCTGTGGAGCATGCCAAGCTCACTGCAGCTGGGGACGTGCCAGATGTGGGCATCATGGCATCAGATCTGCCAGGCCTGAAAAAGGTAGACACAGAAGCACTAGGCTTGTCTGGGGTGCCAGTGACCACAGATGCCATGCCAAGCACCAACTTCCACAGCTCTGTGGCCTTCATGTTCCGGAAGTTCAAGATCCTCCGTCCGGCACCTTTGCCTGCAGCTGTGGTCCCGTCCATGCCCACCTCAGCTCCTGCTCCTGCACAGCCTGTGCCCACCCCCACATCTGGGCCCATTGGACTGCAGATTCTCGCTCAGCAGCCCTTGTCCCTGACCTGCTTCAGCCTGGCACTGCCCAGCCCTCCAGCCGCAGCTGTGGCCTCCTCTGCCTCTGCCCCTGCCCCTGCCCCTGCTCCAGGCCCTGCTCCGGCATCTACTTCCGCAGCAGAGGACTCCCCGGAGCAGCACTTTACAGGACTACACACATCGCTGTGTGATGCTATTTCAGGCTCAGTGGCCCACTCTCCTCCAGAGAAGCTTCGAGAGTGGCTAGAGACGGCTGGGCCCTGGGGCCAGGCTGCGTGGCAGGACTGCCAGGGTGTGCAGGGGCTGCTGGCTAAGCTGCTTTCCCAGCTGCAGTGTTTCGATCGCACCCACCGGTGCCCCTTCCCCCACGTGGTGCGAGCTGGCGCCATCTTCGTGCCCATCCACCTGGTGAAGGAGCGGCTCTTCCCTCGGCTGCCACCTGCTTCTGTGGACCATGTGCTGCAGGAGCATCGTGTGGAGCTGCGGCCCACGACGCTGTCGGAGGAGCGGGCACTACGGGAGCTCGCCCTACCGGGCTGTACCTCACGCATGCTGAAGCTGCTGGCACTGCGCCAACTGCCCGACATTTACCCTGACCTTCTCGGCCTGCAGTGGCGTGACTGTGTACGCCGCCAGCTGGGTGAGCATGGGGCCGCCCCAGTGGCCACCGGAGCGGTGTGAGCAAGTGACAGGTGTGTGTGCTGTGTGAGTGGTCACAGCTGGGGCTGAGTGATTCCAGGGACTCCTGCCTGGGCAGGGGGCTCTCGGGTGGGCTCTAGGTACCCCCGCTCATTGACCCTCCAGACTGTTAGTGAGCACCTTCACAGCCTCCTTTCTAGTCCCCTGAAAGTGCCAGCTGCTCTGTCCCCATGGAAACTCGGCCTCCCCTGGTGCTGCACCTTCCTGGGTCCCTCCTCTGCCTGTGCCGTCTCCATCTTGGGTGTGGTGTTCCCGGTGCTCTGGTTAGACCCTGTTTTCTAGCTGAGATCATTTCCCTGAGTCTAGCCTGGCCTCCCAATTTCTGAGCTTTCGCCCCAAATAACCCACTGCTTGCTGGTCTTCTGCACCGGGTCTCTTCCCACACTGAACTTATCCCAAATCATACTCCTGAGCCTTCCTCAGTCGCCACCCTCAGTCTTTTCCACGTCATTGAAGGGCACCCCTGTTCACAAAGCTCCTCATGCGTGAGATCTCCTGAGGGTCACAGGTGCCTTTCTGACCGAGCGGTTCTGCAGTCCTCAGCCCTGACGGCACAAAAGTGCCCATAGGCTGCGTCGTTTTGTGGTCTGTTTTTCCTCTACTCGACGTCTTGTGTCTACTATTCTCCAGCTTGTATTTTTAATGTCCTGGAGGATCACACAACTACGAAGTGTCCCGTGGCATGTATGATCACACTTCTTCAGCTAGGGATCTGATGATGGGACCGACGGGATTCCGCCATTGTCCCTCCTGCGTCAGTACACCTGGCATCACGGCCTGAGGCCCCCTCTAGTTCTACTCTCCCTGTGGCCTCCACCGCCACCCTCTCCCATCCGCCTCTTCCTGTAGAATCTGTTCCTCCTAGTTCCATCCCCATAGCAGCAGCCTTGCTCTGGCCCTTACCTGGTCAGGATGGAGAAGGGCCTGAGGCAGTGAGATGCAGATGCTGATCAGCAGCCTGGCTGACCAGCATCCCTGATCCCTGAACTTTACAGAATTGGAGCAGATGCCTTACTGGGATGCAAAAGAAATCCAGGCTTAGGCGTTCTGTTACCACTGAGTGTGAGGGTCAGGCATCACTCAGGGCTGGGCTGCCCAGCTCAGTCCTCTCCCCATACAGTTGGGCTGTCTGGGGTCCAAAGAGGGTCAGGTCCTTGTCTTCTGGGCTGCCTAGTGGGCAGTGGAGTCTGGGTTCCACACAGTCCCCGCCTGCTCTGAGTGGAGCTTGCAAGAGTCGGGGGCCTGGGAAGGAAGTGACTGGGACCAGGCTTCCTGCCTCTGGCTGAATAGTGTTGCCCCTGTTCTCACTCCCTCCCCCCATCCTTGGGGGCTCCTTTCTGTGTGTGCCCCTAGACAGTGATTCTGGCCTGCCTTTCTTCCGGGTTCCTGCGCTCCCCAGCGTGGCTTTTAGGGCAGTCCCTGCCTGGGCCTGGGCTGGGGCTTGGGTTCTGGCTCTGGGGCTGGCATAAAGATGATGGCGGTCTTATGTATGGCAGGGCCCTCTGTTCCCATCTGGACAGTGGGTATTGGGTCACACCAATGGTTCCTGACCTGCTGAGCCCCTTTCCTTTCATCCTTGTACCCAAACAGCCTCTCCTGAGCAGTGCCTGCATCAGATAGAGCTCTGGGGTCACCTGCGGAGAAGCCCATCTTTTTGGCTTGGATGGTCTGGCCAGTAGGCACATGAGGGGAAGGGGTGTGATGCCAGCCTGATGTGGGGCAGAGCAGAAGCACTGTATGGGGGGGCTCTGGAGGCCAGGAGGTGGGACCTGAGGGTACGGGGTCTGCAGCCTGACTATGTGTTCATTTTGCAGGTGACTTTGACACTGAGGCTGGAGCTGTGTCCCCCTCAGAGCCCACTGTGGCCAGATATGAGCCAGAGAAACTTGCCCTGGCTCGGAAGTCACCGGCCCCCAAGGTCAGGAAGCCAGGGAGGAAGCCACCAAGCCCTGGCCCAGAGAAAGCAGAGGCAGCTGCTGGGAAAGAGTCCTGTGGTGCCTCCGCTACCCCTGCTGCCAGCACCAGCCCACCTGGCCGCACGCTGAAGGCCCGCTTCCGCAGTCTGCTGGAGACCACCTGGCTCAATGGGCTGGCCCTGCCTACCTGGGGCCACAAGGCCTCAAGACCAGACCGGCCTTCGCCCCACCCACAGCTGCTGGACAGCCAGAACCCTCACCTGTAGCGCTGGTTGCCAGTGCCATGTGTACGGCGGTCACTCTCCAGCCTTCCTTCTGCCTGCCCAGCTGCCTGGGCCAGGAGTGGATGCTGGGGCCATGGCTGCTCTCCTGGATGGGGTCCAGCTCTGACCCTGGGGCCCACCCAGGGTGGGCTGAGAGCCCCTGAGCTTTTCATGTGAGGGTCTTTATTGGAAGGACTCCTTCCTGTTTCTCCCTGGAGAACACACACATGGGCTCTGGAGCCCGACAGGCCTGGGCTTGAAACCCGGCTCGTGTTCTTGCTGCGTGACCTGGGCAAGACACGTCACACAGCAGAGGGCTCTGTTGAGCCCTCATTCCCCACGTGGAAAATGGGACAACGCCACCTACCTCACAGGGTTGTCGTGGGGATGCTGCCTGACACGTACTCCGTCACGGGTTGGTCTCTGCTTCCTCCCTGGGATGGCAGAGAATCGGAGCCAGAGAACCTTCCTATAGAAAGTCTTCATGTGTCCTAGGACCTGGCTGTCGAAGAGTGGTGCCTTATGCAGTGGATGTGACTCACACCTTCAGGAGTCTCCCCCAGCACCTGGGGTTGGGTTGGCCCCAGTCCTCCAGCCTGGAGCTCCCTGAGGGAGCCTGCACTGCCCACTCCCAATCCCCAGTGATGGTGCAGGGATGCAGCCTGGAGCTGGTGTCCTTGTTCTGGGGCTGCCACTGCCACCCCAGGAGGCCCCAGGCCTGTCCTGAATCGATGTCAGTGCTTCCCTGAAGTGCCTCCCCCACCCCAGGCATTCTCCCAGGAAACTTGCGTTTTTCTAGAAGCGAAGCAGCTGCTGGGGTTCGGGGACTGGTGCAGGCAGGCTGAGTGGCAGCTCAGGCTCAGAAGGCCACTGATCGTCTGGACTGAGGACCCTGCTGCTCCCCAAGCCAGAACCCATCAGCCAGGCCCACTGGCAGCCACCTGCCTTCAGAGGACTGAGTTGAGCCAGAGGCTGGCAAGCTCTGGATCTTATTTAAGGGATGTTGATGAGCCTCTGGGCCTTCAAGGCAGCCATTAAAGCACCTGGCTTGTGTTCGGAAGTGGGGCCTGGCTGTGTGTGGGGTGGTGGCTTTCATGTTCGTCACTATGTACCTACCCGCTGCTCTCAGGCTGCTCTCCCTGCTCCCAGTCCAGAAGGTGCTGAGCACTTGCTCCAGCAAGCGGCTAGCTCTGGCTCTGTGGGCCCCTCTCCCATGCATACTTGCTCCGGGAAAGCTCTCCCTCCTGGGACCCCATGGGTCCTGGTGGTGGTGGGTCGGTGGCTTACTGCCTGTTGAGAAATGCTGGTCACTAGGCCCCAGCACATGCCCCTCTCCCAGGGCTAAGCATGCCCTTCACCGTCTGTGTGGAACTCCCAACCTCCCCATTGCTGGTGACCATGCGGCTCAGTGTCATCAGCTTGGGTGAGTGGCGGGTGGTTTCCTGGGCCCACTCTCAGAGACCCTACCCCAGCTGGGCTCGATTTCCTCAAAGGCTTGTTCTCAGGGCAGCTAAGGTAGCTTCCTGGGCCAGTCTTCCCCCTCCACCTGGGCCTGGGGCCAGTCCATTGGGTCATGATAGACTTGTGTGGCATCCTGGTGGTGGGGCCCAGCTGCGCCATCCCTCCTGTAGCAGCCTGGCCTGACACTAGGCTGGGATTTGGAGTGGCAGCTGGGATTTGGAGTGGCAGCTGCCATTGTCCCCTTATACTGTTCATACTGGCCTAGGAAGAGTCCTGGGCTGTGGAGGGAACAGGTAAGCACAACACATTGGCCACTGCAGTGTCAACCTGGAAGAGGGTCCTTGGGACCCAGAAGAGGTTCCTAAACTGGACCTTGAAGACAATTAGGAAGTCATGTGCAAAGTGGGGTCTGGGTGGACAGAACCGAGCATGCAGAGTCTTGATGAGTCGTGCGGGGAAATCCCCAGGTGGGGCTGAGAAGCCTGACTAGAAATCGAGCAACCCGTAAACTCAGTCCCATAACCTGAGGAATGGGGGCGTGAGCCACGAGGGATCATGTGAGGCTACCCCTACAGGGATGGAAGAATTGCAGTGGAGGAGTTTCTGAATCCGGGGCTCCCCCAGGCCCTGGGCAGACATGGGTGCCTCATCAGCTCTGTCAGTCCGTCTCATGGCCAGCGCATGACTGGAGTAGGCGCTTTCTTTCCTTAGATCCTTCCTCTTCCCTCCCCCTTCTCCTCCCTCGCTCTCTCGCTGCACACCTGTGGCCCTGCTGCTTGCCTGACACACATCACCTATATTTTGGCCACTGTCTTTTATTTTTGCGATGGAGTTTCGCTCTTGTTACCCAGGCTGGAGTGCAATGGCGTGATCTCGGCTCACCAAAACCTCCGCCTCCTGGGTTCAGACAATTCTGCCTCAGCCTCCTGAGTAGCTGGGATTACGGGCACGCGCCACCGTGCCCAGCTAATTTTTTGTATTTTTAGTAGAGACGGGGTTTCACCATGTTGACCAGAATGGTCTCGATCCCTTGACCTCGTGATCCGCCCGCCTCAGCCTCCCAAAGTGCTGGGATTACAGGCTTGAGCCACCGCGCCCGGCCATGGCCACTGTCTTGAATGGAGGAGCAACCTCCCTTGAGGGAGTGTGTCCTGGGCTGTCCACCTCCTACCGACAGGACATAAGGTCACTCCCACACCCCTAAGAGTTCTCTGTGGGCTCCATGGAGCCCTCACCTCTCCCACAGACTCCTGAGAGTCCCAGGTGGCAGCCTCAAGAAGTCTCCAGGGCAAAGGGTATTGCATGGGCTGAGGACCAGGAGAGGGACTCCTGGGGTTGAGGGTGGGGACCCAGCAGGCCCCAAGGAGCGTGTGGGGAAGACGAGACCAAAGTCAGCACTTAATTAACCCAGAGTGTCCCAAGGGTGGGGGTGGAGAGGGACCACACCCCAAATCTCTACAGTTCTCACAGCATTGCCGTGGAGTGAGAACAGGGCTTTCACCGTCATAGGGGGCTCTGTCCACCAAGGCCCCTGACTTCCGGGGAGCCCACACCCACAGTGCCCTTCTTTCTGAATGCTGGCCCTTCCACAGCCTGGATGCTTGAGCCTGGGCAGAGGGATAACGACCCCTGAACTGTCTTCACAAGCAGAGAGGCTACTTGTCGCCAGGCCCTGACTGCTCGGGCTGAGCTCAGCAGCAGGCCTCTCTCACCAAGACCCCCTGGACAGAAGGGGTTCAGCCCTGAGGACCCAGCACTCCCCACACTTGCATGTCCCTGCCTGGCATCCACCCTGGGGACCCACTTGCCCCCTGCTCCCAGCTGCTGGCAGCCCCATCTTGACTCGTCCGGGATTCCTGAGGCCACACCAGGAAGCAGCCGGCAGCTGGGAGGCACACCTGCTGTTTCTGCATCTTTTTTTCTGGAGCTTACATGGGTGGGAGGGGCTACAGACTCCAGGGATCCTGCAGGCCACGCCTCCCACTCCCTGGCTGAATGAGCTTTCTTCTCAGGGGTCTGACTGGAAGGCTGGGACCGACCTGTCACAGAGGCAGGTCTGAGTAGTCCAGGCCCGTTCCTACTCTCCATCAGGGCCCCTTCTGTTCATTTGTGCAGCTGCCTTTGCCCAAAGCACCAGTGATGTCTGCGTGGACTGTCCCTTGTCCCCAAGGGGAGTGTGGCTCCTAGTCCCAGCCTGGGTCTCCATCACTGGCTGGCTGGTTCTGCTTGCTGCATTCTCTCCACACCTGCCTCCTGCAGCCCAGGGGTCAGTCTGGGTGCAGACCTGGGAAAGGTCCAGGAGCAGATTCTGTCCCCCAGCTCTTGCTTCCTGTGCACCAAGGCAGCCAAAATGCAGCAGCAGAACCAGGAGCACTGGCTTGTCCCAGTATCCGTGTTTTGGGAGGCTGAGGTGGAAACATCACTTGAGAGCAGCCTGCACAACATAGCAAGACCCTGTCTCTACAGATAATAAAATTGGGCATGGTGGCATGCGCCTGTAGTCCCAGGTACTCAGGAGGCTGAGGTGGGAGGACCGCATGAACCCAGGAGGTCAAGGCTGCAGTGAGCTATGACTGCACCACTGCACTCCAGCCCGGGCAACAGAGCAAGACCCTGTCTCTAAAACAAGAAACAAAGTGCATCGTGTGTGGAATCCAGCTTCTGTCGTGTGGACCTGACCTCACTCGGTCCCATCAGTGAGTGGGAGGCTGCCTGCTGTCTTCCAGAACATTCCCACCACTACACCTGTGTTTCTCCTGTGTTCCCTGGCAGGCTTTGTGAGGGGGCCTGTCACCTACCCTCTGGCTTCCCTAAGGCACAGCTCAAACCTTTCTTGCCACTGAGAACCTTCTCCTGAAGAGTCTTACCCTCACCCACAGGCCTCCTCATTTCAGAGCTTTTGGTGGGGTGAGTACCAGGATTGACTCACTGCTACCAGCTGGGAGGAATTGTCCCTAGGGTTGGGTCTCTGGATGGCATATGAGGATCTAGACGAGGACCCAGATGCCTGTAACCTGAAGGGCAAGGGCCTCAGCTACCAGGGCTTCACACAGCCCCTCGTCCAGCCTGACCTTCTGGGACAGGCCAGACCCCTCCATCCTTTGGTCTTGGTCCCTACTGGGAACCCTGGTTTCCCTGGATTACCCACTTTGACTCCAAAGGTAATAATGCCGACATCCCCCGTGAGACCGTGACAGACTGAGACTATCGTAGGGTTGCCTGGCTCAGAGTCACCATAGCCAGGCAGAGCTGAGGTCCTGGCCCTGTTCAAGGCTTTCCGAAATCCCTTCTAGCTCTGGTACCTGGGTTCTTCCTCACCCAGCTGCAGCTTCTCCCACCCCTTCCACCAGGTGACAGAGAACCTGGCAGTCTGTGAGCCATAGAAGGCTTCAGTTTCCTTCTGGTGAGGGATGAGAACCAGCTTAGGGCGGGAGGGAAGAGGGGTCTGGGGGCCCTCCCAGCCCTGCCTCTGGCATTTGAAGGATGGTGGCTGGGCAGCAGCATGGTTTAGGCTAGACAAGGCGGCCCCTAGGTTAATAGCCAGGCCTCAGACAGTTGCTGCCATGTCACCTTCGCTTCTGCACATGCTGACCTGGCATCCCACCTAGTTAAAGGTCCTCAGGCCTCCCGCCCCTGGGCATTTCCCCCACTCCCTGCCCAGGCACAGCTGTCCTTGTCCTGGACTCATCTTCAGAGATGCTTGTCCAGCACACAGCTTTGCTGGATGTCGCAGGCTGGGCCGGGCCCCCTGCCCTGCACTAACCTCTTCGTGAGTCTCAACTAGACTGAGCCGCAGCTTCAGGGTCAGGACCGGCTCTGACTTAATTGAGGACAAGGGGGTTACATCTGCTTGAGTTCTTGGCCTCTATGGTCTCTTTGGGGCATGATGCCCCTCTGTCCCATGCTTAGGTGCCCACATGTGGCCACAAGTGCCTTTCCTTCCAACATCCGTACTTCAGGCTGCTGTCCAGGCACCTGTGGCTCCAGGCAGAAGCGTGAGTGCAGAGCCAGGCCTGGGCTGACGTTCTGCAGGTGCTGCAGGAGTTGACAGCCTTGGCCACGCAGCCCATGGCCATCCATTCCCCTACACTGTGGCTGCCCCCAGTCCACCATCCTTCCAGGGCCAGGCCTGGAACCAAACTGACTTCTCTCTGGACCTGACAGGTTCTTGGCTGAGTATGATGGTCTTGCCCATTTCTTTGATTATCCTCAACAAGAGGTTTATAGAGCCATTGGGAACATCACATCTGTCTACCACGTCCTCACCAGAGACATGACTGCCTTGGGCCAGGCCTGGGACAGTCAGAAGTTACACTTGCCTGTTGAAACCCAGATTCATTGGCTTCAATCTAGGCAATGGGCTGATGGGCAGCTGTCAGTTCTCCTGTGCTTGGGGGAGGCAGGAAAGGAAGGTCAGGCAGGAGATCTGCTTGGCGCCCACCTGTGCCTGTCTCACCTGGCTGCAGGTGCATTGGAGGCTGAACCCCTTTCTTGATCTGCAGGTGTGGATTTCAGGTTTCCAATGGTTGTCAGGGTGTGCTCCAGTGCTCTCCTGGCCCTAGGGAACCCTGGGCTCCATGAGGCCTTGGCCTAGGCAGGATTGTTTCCCACACTGTCATCTCCCCATACAGTCACCTCCCCAAACACTGGGCTGCAGGCTCTGGTATATGTAAAAGTTCAAAGGCAAAAGTCGGCCCTTCCGCTCTCCCGGAGTGGGTGGCCCCTCCCCTCTCAGAGTGGGCGGGGACAGGAGTTGCAGGGGCAGCTTTCCTTGGGATGCCACAGGTCTCTCTGGAGCTGCCTGGCCACGTCTCCTTTCCTTTCATCTTTCTCATGACCAATGGGATTGGAGCATGAAGGCCACGCCCCTGTTCTACATTCTAGTGTGGTCCTGGTTACGCCTCCTCTGGCTCAGACACACAGCTGCCTGGTAGAGGAGTGGAGCTGCTTACCAGTGCTCCTTTGAATTGTGCTGATGTGGCGCCAACCCCACCTCCCTCCCCAACCCCACCTCCCTCCCCCACCCACCATGTCGATGTCAGAAGAAATTCACAAGATAAAATTAGCCTCGGCTAGGAAAAAGGTAACATGGACACAGATCCCCTCCGACAGCAAGACTGCTGCCAGAGTCCATAACACTTCTGAGACACACCAGACTGGGTGGGCCTCTAACCCTGCTGCCTCTGGGCTCCCCCTACCAACGTCTTGTCAGTCAGCCCCACCCCTTCAGCAAGGAGCCCAGCCCCTACCCTTGCCAGTCACCCCAGGGTGACTTTGGATGTGTAACTCCTGAGGCTCCCCGCTCCCTACTTGGACCTCACCTTTTCCTGCCCCAAGCCTGACCTTCCTGGGCTCTGTGGGCTCGTGTCTCTAAGGACCTGGGTCTCCGAGCCCCCGCCCTCACCAGTCATTTCTGGGTGACTTTGGGCTGGTGACTCCTGGGAATTCCTGCTGCAGACTCTGCCCTCCCCTCCTCCTCCCCCAGGGTGACCTCCCTGTGCTCTTTGGGCTGGCATCTCCAAGGACCTGGGTCCCAGCCCTGCATCCCCCTCCCCCATCATGGAGCAGTGACTCAGGCATCTCGTGGATGTGGTCCCCTCCCCCAGGAGGAGTGGAATGTAGCGATGTCACAGTCCCCCTAGGAACCATCATTCCTGCTATAAGACCAGCCTTTGATCTTACCGCCCAGTCCCCTAAGCATTCTCATAGCATTTCTGGCTCCTCTGGTCCCAGCACATATTTCCAGCTGGTTGGGGAATGTGGACTATGGGACCTAGGAGTGAGAGGTTTCAGGCTGCCCACTCCTTTAACATAGACCTTGACAGTGTGAAAAGCCTACACTTCCCTCGTGAGCTCAAAACATTGACAGTGTCTCTGGGTGGCAATGGGAGAATGGGTTTGGTTTGGTTTTCTCTCAGGCTTCTACTCTCCAGAGAGACTTTCATGTTACTTTCTGAGTTCTCCAGCTCATCTTCAAATTCTCCATGGGTTTGGGACCAGACTGCCCTTCAGTCACTGGCCTCTGGAGTGAGATTTGCTCATCTTCTGTGGAACAGATCTTGGGAAATTGAAACTGACAGCTTGAATCTTCCTCAAATCATTGCAACTCAGGCTACTTTGAATGCCACGGGATAAACATGGGAAATCTTTCTGAAGCATCAGTTTCCCTTGAGTCTCTAGAGAGAGCAAAAGCATTAATGTACTTAGGGATGACAGTCACATAGGTTTCTAAGAGTATACCAGACCTCTCTCAATAAGACTTGGGTTGTCCTCCTTCTGATGAATTCCCAGATTTAACAAAAAGGCTGCCTTCTGCCATGAGGACACATTGATATAATAGTGTGAGAGGTACTGGTGCTCTTCTTTTTTTTTTTTTTTCTGAGATGGAGTTTCGCTGTTGTTACCCAGACTGGAGTGCAATGGCACGATCTCGGCTCACGCAACCTCTGCCTCCTGGGTTCAAGCAATTCTCCTGCCTCAGCCTCCCGAGTAGCTGGGACTACAGGCGCGCACCACCATGCCCAGCTAATTTTTGTATTTTTAGTAGAGACAGGGTTTTACCATGTTGACCAGGATGGTCTCGATCTCTTGACCTTGTGATCCACCCACCTCGGCCTCCCAAAGTGCTGGGATTATAGGCATGAGCCACTGCTCCTGGCCAGTGGTGCTCGTGTGAGGCTGTATGACTCTAAACCACATGGCATACAGTTCCTGCCTACTTCATGTTGATTTTTCTACCTCTGCCTGTGGTTTTGGTCTCTGGCAGTTGCTAATTCGTGGCAAAACCCTAGAGCTTGGAGTCAGAGGAATGAGTTTAAGTTTTAGTATTACTTTCTCTATTTTCTTTTTTTTTTTTTGCCATGACATCAATCCCTCTCGGTCACTAAGTGAGTGTGACAACACAGTATAGAGTTGTTGGTGGCATTAAATCAGATGGTGTATAACAGTATTTTGTAAAAACTGTAAAGTAGGTTGTGACTGTAGGGGTTTGTAGTTCTCATGGGCGTTACTGCTCTTTTTCCCACAGTTAAAAGAATTTCAACAAAGAAACAGTCCTGCTGTTCCATCTCGAGTGAGAAGAAGAAAGAAAAGAAACAACAGTAGCCGTGAGACATCCGCTTCTGATGGTTGCCAGTCACCATGCCATGTGAGTCTTGGCGGCCAGGCTTCTGGGGAAAAAGGGCCCAAGGGGCAGTAGAGGGTAATTGTTAAGGTTGTGGAAGAACTTCTGGGTACTGGTTAGGAATTCTGGGTTTGAATCCCGCCTCTCCATCTGTGAGGGATATGATTTAGGGCAAGTTGCTTGAGCTTTTTGGGCCTCTCCTTTCACATCTGTGAAATAGAGGTGATATTGTCTGACTTCCATTTGTGAGGGTGAAATGAGATTCGTTATTGCTGTTGTTTTGTTAATCCCTAGTACATGGCCTGCTGTAAACACCCAGGACACCCAGGAAATGGTCCTTGCTGTTTGGTTTTCCTCACCCCCCGTCTCAAGGGGAAGCCAGCCCAATGAGAACAGCCATTTGCTGTCAGGCTGTCCCTTTAAGAGTCACTGAAAGGGCCCCAGAAGGGGATGATGGGAGATCAGAACCATGAGAGGAGCTGGCACAAAGGAGTTATGGGACAAAGGGTCTGAGGGAGGCAGAACAGAAAATGCTGCCAGCTGATGGGAAGAAAGGAAGTCAGAGGCTTGGACACTGACGGGGACAGAACATCTCCATGTGCACTCTCATCTCTTGTAGTCAGCAGCAGGTGGTCACAAGGAGGGCCCTGCACCGTGTGCCACCATGAAAGGTCCAGAGGTAAGAGGCCCTGAGCTGAGGTACAGTGACCCTGCAGGCCAGCCCTCCACCCTTCTCCCACAGTGGCAGCTGGGTGCCCCTCTGCCAGCTGAGACAGCCCCACACACCCCAACCCTAATGATTGTTCTCTCTACCTCTCCCTCAATCCTCCTCCAACTCCTCTCCGCATGTGCCTCAGAGCGCACACCAAGTACAAATAGCCCTGGACCCGAGCTCAGTCACAACTAGTGAACTGAGTAACACCATCGACTTATTGGTAAGAGTCCAGTGGGGTCCCCTGATTCCACGCTGCCAATCCTGGGCTCCAGTTTCCCCTTGGGGCTGCTGTGGGTGAATTGAAGGGCGCTATGGGGAGCCAGCACTGGACGCAGAGTTTGGAGGCCAAATGCCCGCCCTGCCCTTACCTGGCTGTGGCCTTGGCCAAGTCCTAGGTGGGGGACTGGGCACTTGGCCCTTGGACTGTGAAGGTACAGAAGAGTAGCTTTAGTATGTTACCATTTGTGTAGAGAGAGGAAACGTGTGTGTGTGTGTGTGTGTGTACATACTATGATAATATACATAAAACATGTCTGCAAGGATTTGTAAAAAACTCAGGTGAGAGCACAGGTGGCTGGGAGATACTTCCCTTCTGTACCTTCTAAGTTTTGGACTATGTGAATGTATCCTCCTTTCAAAATATGAGCAAAAGATTCATTTCCCCCTTCCTGTCTGTGCCTCCAGACCCAGCAGAAAAAAAAATGGACTTAGAGAATCAGATGGACCTGGGTGTTCAAATCCCAGCTCTGTCTAAGTGATCTTAGTCAACCACCTGACCTCTAATACTCCATGTTTTCCGTCTACACAATAGAGGTAATGGTAGTAACCGCCCCTCATGGTGGTTGTGAGGTTAACTGGGACTGTTCGCAGGCTACCTGGTGACGCACTCAATAAAGGTTCCAACAGCGGTAGTAACGACAGGAATAACAATAGGATATGATGTGACCTCTCTGGGCCTCTGTTAGCCAGCTGTAATTGTGGCCTCTTTCCCTGTGCCTTCCAACTTTACTGAGTTCTTTTAAAATCCAGACCACGGGATTGATTGTGACTTGATCTTTACTGACCGAGTTGTGTATTAAGCCCAGCCCTAGCCCTTTTAAGGGGCACTGTGTGGAATGGCCCAGGCTCTCCAGATTGAAGCTTCTCGCTCTTCCCCATCCAGCCCTCAAGCCGCCGTGAAGCAGTCCTTGAGCAGCAGGTACAGCAGTTTCTACAGGAGCGGGAACTGCTAAAAGCGCAGGTGGCAGAGGTGAGACTATGCAGAGGGAGGGATGTGGAAGGAAGATGAGCCCAGGTGGCCAGGAGCAGGTGAGGACAATGACAGCCCTTCCTAACTTCTGGGTCCATTCCTGCGGGTGACGGAGTGTCTTAAGAAAGCTCAGCTAGAAAGAGACACTTACGCTCAACAACTCAAAACAGAGAAGGTGCAGTGGCAGCAGAAAATCCTCAAAATGGCAGGAGAAGTGAGAGCTGACCCTTCAGCCCCCACCTTAGATAGGTCACTGGATCTTTCTGGGCATCTGTAAAATGAGACTAGTCCAGCCAGGGGTGGTCACAGGACTGGGCTGTGTGGAGCTGGGGGCGGAGAGGGAGATGGTAGCCTGTCCAGCCACCAGCCCTTCTCCAGGGCCCTTTCCCGCTGTTCTTTGGGCAGATTGAAATATTCAAAATGGAGAAAAGTCAAGATGCAATGACAATCGAGAAGCTGAAGGGGAGCCTTGCCCACCTACAAAACCTTCTGGGTAAGATGGGGCTGGCGTGACCCGGGAGCAGGACGGGCATCAGAGGGCTGTGGGGGTGGCTTAGAGTGCCCCAGGGAGGTGGGTGGCTGGAAGGGCTTTGAGGCAGAGGGAGAGAGATCTGTGCTGGGAGATGGCATGTCTTGTCATCTCCATGGGCCTCAGTGTCCCCATCAGAAAGAGGGAGGGTGCCCGTCGTCAGCCACCCACAGTGCTCTCTATCTGAAAGTGGCTTGGAAGACTGGCTACCATTTGGGTGTGAGGAATCATTAGCAGTGAGGCCAGGTTTGGGGAGCTTGAGAGGAGCTGTGCACCCAGAAGAGTTTTTTCTTTTTTAGAATCCAGAGGCCCTTATTGTCTGCTTCCTTTCTCAGCTGAACCCCCAATCCCAAAGCACCCACAGGGCCCTCTAACTTGGAAAAAAAACCTAAAAACTGAAACCAAGTACCTGAGAGATGAGCCACGGGAACAGGAGAGACTGCAGGAGGCGAAAATGAGGCTCTGGGAGACGGAGGTGAGGCTGAGAGAACAGGAGAGGCTTCTTGAGCAGGAGGGGCTTCAGGAGCAAGAGGAGGAGCTGGTGTGTTGCCCACCTGGGGAGGCTGCCCTCCTCCCCAGCCGTCCAGTCCTTTGTTTTCCCACCTGTAAAATGTGAGAGTGTAGCCCTCCCATGAAATGGGCTTTCTAAAGGCACCTGGGAGCCAGAACCCTGCTCTGATGGCTGTGGGAGAAAGGAGACAATTTTTCTAACCTGCCTCCACCCTTCCTGGTGCCATGGGAGGCAGACACCAGTCTGGACATCATCATTCCAGCTCGAGGCATGGAGCCCCCTAGTCATAGGGCAAGAGACAGTGGTGTGAGAGACTCTTTATGCTGGGTGCGGTGGCTCACACCTGTAGTCCCATCACTTTGGGAGGCTGAGGCAGGGTTTGAGATCAGCCTGGCCAACATGGCGAAACCTCATCTCTACTAAAATTACAACAACCACAAAAACAGCAAAGCTGGGTATGGTGGCACACCAGTAATCCCAGCTACTCAGGGGGCTGAGGCATGAGCATCGCTTGAACCCAGGAGGTGGAGGTTGTGGTGAACTGAGTTTGCACCGCAACTCTCCAGCCTGGGCCACAGAGTGACACTCTGTCACAAAACAAAACAAAGCAAAGTCTCCTTAGATCCAAACTGGATTCCGACCTTGATTCCACTGGTCACCATTCAACTGCTTTGCATCTCTAAGTCTCTGTTTCTTTACCTTCCAAAGGAAGTTAGCATTTTCCTTGCATGGGTGCTGAGGAATAAATGAGATGATTCGTAGAAAGCGTTAGGCATGTAGCACACTTGGCAGATGGTGATTGGCTCCCTCTGCTTTTCCAGCAGTCTGTGGCCTACAGTTTAAATGGTGGAAAGAAGGATGTGAGATTTGAGGCTGTGGAAGGAGACACGGGGTTCTAGGCAAGGGAGGCAGTCTCTTAGGCTGGAGCCAGGGGCCAGGCGCATGGGCAGGCCACCTTCCTCTGTGGTCCCTCCCAGACCCCCTTATGCTCTTGGTTTCCCTGCCTTCTGATTCTTCTGGATTCTCATCCCTTCCGGGAGCCGGTGGTCAGACACCTTCGTGACTGACAGGTGCCCCCTCTGAGGCCCCAAGGGAAGGGGCTGTGCTCCACCTCCCTGCCCCGTCTGTCCTGTGTATGCCTCTACAAGAACCCTCACCTCTTGCCTTCAGGTGCCATTTCTGAACGCTGCTAAAGCCAGTGCCCAGGAGGAGCAGGCACGGCTCTGTGAGCAGCTCCAGAAACAACAGGTGTGCTGCCAGCACCAGGCTCAGCTGGGGGCCTCGGCCCTGAAGGAGCCAGAGGCAGCGGCCGCAGCCACAGGGACTGGGAGCGAGTCTGGGTGTGGGGAGACCCAGCGGGCCCTGCAGGGAGCTCTCGACCAGCTGCAGGTGAGTGAGTCCTGGCAGGGGCCAAGAAGGGTGGGGGAGGGGCAGGTCGCTCCCGAGATGTGACCCCATTATTTCGGCTCCAGAGAGACTTCATGGACATTGTGAAGGAGAATTCGGATCTGAAGGAGCGGGTGGAAAAACTAGAGCTCGGATTCATTCAGCTCTCTGGAGAGAGAGACGTGATAAGTGAGCAGGAGGCCAGGCAGGGCAGGGGGAGCTGCAGGGTGGTGGGAGGGGCCCCAGTGTCTGAGCCTGTCCTCCCACAGGAAAGTTCGTCAAACCAAATGACCGTCAGAGGGCAATGGCCAAGACCCAGCACCAGAAGAACGATGTTAGCATGCTGTCGCAGGCCGAGGAGGGGATGAAGGTAAGGTGTACAACATCTCTGCAGGGGTGAGGGGGATAAGGGTGGGCGTGAGCATGGGTGCCGGCACCAGCATGGCAGCTGAGCACCCGTTTCTCCAGGTAAAGCTGCTAGAGCTGCAGGGGCCAGTGATGCAGCTTATGATCAACCATGAGGTCGTCCAGCACCCTGCTAATGAGCCCACTCCAGGGGCCCCAGCCCCCCAGGAGCCTGGTGCTGCTGACAAGGATGGTGAGTAGAGCCCTCAGGCGGGGTGGGCAGGCAGGAGCAGGGGAGGCTGGCCCTGCACTCATATCCCTGCCTCCCTCTCTCCAAAGAACTTTGTGATGTGATCATCGCTGGCAGCCTGCAGCCTGCAGGAGGGAGAGTACACCACAACCCCACTGCACAGCAGATGGCACATGGCTTTGTGAGCTGCAGGACAGCCAGCAACACCGACCCTTGGGCAGCAGTCCCACCACGCCATGCTTTTACCAGGCTGTGGGCGAAGGAGCGGGTAAACATCACGATCAGCTAAGAGCTGGCCCAGAAGTTTACAAACAAACAAAGTTATAGGCTTAGTCTTCACGTTTACTTCATTTGAATGTTAGAGCCACTTAGGATAATTTGTGTTTCTAATCTATAGTTTATTTGTAAAAAGTTAAAGGAAAGTGGGTCTTCGTGTGGCTTTCACTGATGTTCACGCTGGCATTTTTTAGAATTTTTGATTTTAAATTTGATAATCGTAGGTCATTAGCATGCCTATCGAGTTTGCCCTTACGTGGTGGGAGTTCAAACACACAAAGACCCACTATTGGCACAAAACTATTCTCGCTAGTTTGGAATAGGCTGCCATGGTTATTTAATGTTATTGCAGCCATGTGTATTCATTATGGAATTCAGATACAATTTGCTTATGTTCTGCTATGATACTTGATCAAATCCTATTTACAGTGAGCTCTTAATTAGCTCAATATGTGCTTTGCCCTCACGTGCACACTGTTTATTACTTTGTAAGATGCCACTGTGAGTACTGACATTTAGAGTTGTTGAAAGGCCGAGAACTGGAAACAGCCTTTCTTCCATGTTCTGTGTATTGCAAATGGGAGTAATAACATTTTGGGGAGCTTTTAAAATCTCACAGAAGAGGAAAGCGGCCTGCTCTGGCTGGTATGTGCAGAATAGAGTAGTTCATTGGTTCCTGTGCCAAGAATAAGCGCTGCGCTATGGTAGTTCTTTTAGGGTTTTTCTGTGCTCTGGGCTCATGAAGATACTGCATGATAAGCTGCAGCAGCTGTACTCTTTTTTATGACCTACAAAGAGATGATTTCTGAGGAATAAAAGGCTCCCATCTTTGATGGATGTGGAAAACCTTTCCTAGCTTAGAGCATTTACAGCTATAATACATTGTAAAGTCAGAGCTCATGTTACCTGTTTTAATCACATGACTCTAAGTCTCAGTACACAAAAGGGCACTGGTTGGCATTCTTCTTAATGTATTTAGTAAAGGCCATAAGAAATCCTTTAAGATAAAGTGTAATTTATATATATACATATATATAATATATATGAATGGAAATTTGTATCTTAGAATGGATAGGCACTAAATATTGATGACTGAACAGTTAATGTTTTAGGACACTTGGTATAGTGAGTGCCTTGCACACAGAAAAAGACCACGGATGAGATTATCCTTTGTATCATTTCACAGTTTTAAAAATTGCTATTGATTACAGTTCACATAGCAAGTTGCTGATAAAATGTCTGTTTTTAGAAAACATCTCCAACAACAACAAAATCCTTTCAGAGTTTAAATGTCCAGAAAAAAAATAAAAATTTTAATAAAAAATTAAAAAAAGTTTAAATGTCCCTGGAACAGGCACACAGGGTGTAGTCAAGAATGAACTAGAGTGCAGGAAAGCCGTGTGACACCTGGCGTCCCTCTGTGTTCACGGAGCTTCTTTGAGGCGAGATTGACTTGACCGTCCAGACTTCTCTGGCTAATACCTATTTTTCAACCACCTTGGTTACTCTGACATAGGAATTGCCTTGTTTTTCTTCAATGAAAAGGACTTTAAACAATAATCACAAACATTATTATAAACTAATATATGTGAGAGTACTTGGCTGAAAAAAAAGGAGTTTCAGTAGACAGAATTGTACTATATTTGACAATCAAAGAGAAGTTTATGCAACGTAAAATGTTTATAGCCTGCAGTGCCATCTACTGTTTGTGAATGTCAATGTATTATCAGGAAAAGTGTCTAACAATCACAGAGTTCTATTTCCTCAGCAAGTTCTTTACCAAGAGAGAAATATGTTTTTATACCTTTCAGTCTCAGTTAGAGGCACATTTTGTGCAAGATTTATGTTAATGTGTCTCTACATTATGAATGAATTCTTTCAGTCAGTCATTGCATAAATCATAACTTTATGATGCTTGGGACAGAATCAACAGTTGAAACTTCATGAAGTTCTAATGTCCATGTACCAAAATATGTCCCATTGTTAGGATGGAGGGAGATATGCAGGTGTGCTCCCTGAAGGGGAGATTCCTAGTTACTGACCAACTCCACATTTAGCATTTGGCATCTTCATGATACTTTCATAAATATGGCATTAATAGGAGAGCACTCATACAATTTGACAGATGGAATAACACATTTGCCTGCATTCCCTGAAAGAGTACAAATATTGGGTCCTGGTGATTTGAACTGACTCTTCCAAATTGTAGGGATTTATCAATGTATCAGATAAACCCAGTTTCAGAACGATCAAGGAGAAACGTTAGACCAAATAATGCGGCTAATTAACAGTGGCATGATTTCTAGCCGGGGGCTTAAAATGGACTTAAAGTTCTGTTTTGTGTTTTATTTCTGAACTTGCCGCTTTTGCATTCTTTGAGTTCAGTTTAAAGACAGTTACTCTAAGTCCATTTTCAACCCTCGGGCTAGAAATCGTACCCCTGTTAATCAGCCACATTATTTTGTCTAACAGTTTTTCTTAATCATTCTGAAACTGGGTTTATCTAATACATTGATAAATTATTTCAAAGGGATTTTGATAGTTCAAATCACTTCACTTTAACCCTAAGAAATACAAATGACTAGGAATGACCTTCAGATAGTGTTTAGCATCTGTACCCAATCTGATGATAACGTGTTCATCAGGTACCTGTGCAGTAAATCCCATACAGGCATGTTTAAGCTGAATGGCAGTCTGGAAAATACATTTACTATTAACCGAAATATCACTCTGAGTAGGTATTTTGTCATCTATTTAAGAAAAATCTAAAAGAACGGAAATCACATGACAGTGACTTAAGTCTTTCTTCAAAGTGCACGTGAGTCTCCTGAAGTACTTCATTCAGCCAAGTGTCTGTTCTCTTCCTCATTCAGTAGAAGGCAGCTTTCAATTGGCTTAGAAGGCAACATCAGAAGGTTAGCGTTCATCAAAAACACAGAATTTTAAAATGTGTGTTCAACTGACCAAATTTGAATTTCTGTAGGAAGAATCAAAATACCTGTTTAAAGATTGCAATATATGATAATCATTTTTAAAGGATTTTATTAAACCTGATAGGTTTTCCAGAAATGAATAAAACTCAGTTCTAAAAACAACGCTGATTTTTAGAAAATTTGAAAATGTAAATCAGTCCTATCCTATCCACAATATAGTTTCTCTAAAACTTTATCTTAAAGAGTTATTTTAAAATAACTATTTAAAAAATAACTGCTCTCTTAATGTTTTGAAATTACTTAAAACATTTAAAAATATGAATATTGCAGTTTAGAAGAAATAGGGGGAAGGAAAAGTGAAGAAATGCCAATTCCAGTCCAAAGCTTTATTTGCCAAGTTTTCTAAGAATGACTTTTACCACTGTATGAACTCCTGTGAACAGAATGTAAGATGGAAATCCTGAGCCTTTTGTCTAAAGCGGCAATACTGACTGCTGCTGTGATGCTCCTGTGATGTAATAAATTATTCAGTTGCTGCAAAGTGCTGTTTCTGCCTTAAAATTTTGTGCATCTTGACAGCTGTAGTATTAAAGGTATTGAGACTGCAAACACTGGGCACACTTGGCATGAGATAATCTGTTTTTATTTTTACAAAATTGTAATATAACTATGCAAGTGTGTTTATTAAAAGAACACAAACTAATAAAATTTATGGGATTAAAAGTTATGGGATAAAAAAGTCATCGGATAAAAAATGGAAAAGTTGTGGCAAAAAGCATTGTGGATAAAAAGTAGAAAAATTTTATGAAAAGTTATAAATGTTATGAAAAGGAAATTATGAGATTTTCTTTTTAAGTCATGGGATAGAAATAAAAATAAATAACAGCAGGCTTCTGTCAGCAAGGCCTGGAGAAGGGGGAACTGGAGTCTCTACCCCCACCATGTGCCACCCCATCCCAGTCACCCCTCTATTGTTAAGGCAGCAAGACAAGACCCCTGTCTAATGGGGAAAGACAGACCTTTTCCAGCTTGACCAGGGCTGAGTCCTTAAATCTCTGGATGATGATGGTTGTTATTTAGGAGCCAGAGGCTGCTGGAGTTGGTTGGTTTGGAGGAAGCCTGATGGCCTCCTTCCTCTCACCAAAGCAACTTTTCCCTCAGGGGGCTCCCATCTTATTCAGAGAGGCAGCTGAGGCAGGACAGTGGTGCTAACTGTGGACAGGTGAGGGCATGGGCTGCTGGGGTGACCCCCTTCCCCAGTGTATGTATTATATCTGTGTAACATTTTGTATATTTTAGGGGTTTGGGGTGCCCCTTGTATCATACCTGGCAGAGGTTGGAGCTGGCACATGGGGAGGAGGTTCAAATAATTATTTGCAGTTGGGAAACTTGTTTATTGATAGCAGAGGACAGTCTTTTGCTTTTTATTTTGGAACAAATGGATTTAGTCACACTGCTTAGCCCGGCGTATTCCCATTTCCCTCACTGGATCCTGGAGTTTGTGCCACTGAATGAGGAGCCCCAGTGTCTGGGAATGTCCAGCTGGCCTGTTGGGGACCTTCCAGGCCTGTTACCTGTGTGCTGCCTGGTGACACCTGGGGGATTTCACGGGGACTGCCATGGCACTTCCGGCCCTGACAGCCAGCAGGCTCAGAAGCCTGATCTAGCGGTGGCCAGGAAGGCAGGTACCAGCACCCAAGGCACTGACTTCCATCCACCCCAGGCATCTTTCTTCCATCCTCCTGCCTCCCTCTCCTGTCTGTGCCTGGTGGCCTATTCTGTCTGTTTCTCCAGAGTGCTGGATGCCATGCAGGCTCCCTCTAGGCTGAGTTCATGGCCCTGCCCCCTAGTAGCCAGAGCCAGCTTCACAGGATAAGACCAGCTAAGCCTCAGAGGCTTTCCAGGAACAGTGTCCCTTGGAAAGGGTGGGGCCCTTCACCGCTCCCAACAGCACCCCACAAATGGTTTGCCCTTTACCCTCCCCTGAGCACCAAAGAGAACAGTCCACAGAGGACGCATTCCCCCTCATGTAGAAATGGGTTTGACTCTCAGCCGAGGGACAGCAGGACTGGTAGACTGTCAGACCACAGGGCTGCCTGCACAGCACCCCCATGCTTGGCGGGGGCTGGAGGGATGGCGGGGCTTGGGTGTCCACATGCCGGGCATGACAGGGAGGCTCACTGGAGGTGGCGCACTTTGGAGGGGCAGTATCAGGGGACAACTTTCTCTTGGTGGACCACAAGACTCCACAAGGACAGCCCGGTGACTGACTCCCAGTGCCAGAGGTGAGGCGGTCGGCCACGTGTAGATGTGTATATATATGTGAGTATTTCTAGATATTTCTAGAACAGGGCAGGGGCATGCCACAGAGGGGGACGGTCACATCTGGATGTGTCAGCTCACCACTACAACAGACTAAGTCACAGATGAAGGGGGCTGGCTTTGGGGCTGGGGGAGTCACAGAACAGCCGCCCAGGCAGGCTTGGAAAGGGAGGTCTCTGACAGGAGGGGGGATCTGTGTAGAGGTCGAAGGGGGACCTGGGGCTCTCAGGATGCGATGAACTTCCCTGTCCCAATCAGCTGGCAGTTGCAGAGAAAGCAGAGAGGAAACAGGAGAGAGAAAAGCGAGGAGAGAGCTGGTGAGGTAAGCGCAGAGCAGGGGCGCTGCAGCAGCTGGGGGAGGGCTGGGGAAGGGAGGACACAGGTGCAGGTGTGGCAAGGTTCCTGGAAAAGGGGCTGGAAGGGAAAGGGAAGGAAGATGGAGGAAGGAGCCCGAGTTTCACAGGTAGTGCCCCGGGGGCTGCGGCAGCCCTCCCCATCCAAACACGCTGGCCTCTCCCACGGCACCCAGGCAGTGCACTCACAGTTCAGACCCATGTTCACCGGCCTCTGGCTGCCCTCTTTTCTGGTCACCCTGTCTTCCAATCCACTGGCCCAGGGTCACCCCTTGCCTTGGGGAGCCCCACACAACAGCCACCAGGCCTGATAGAGAAGGAACACTGCCTGAACCAGGAGGGTGAAGCTAAAAGGGCTGGATGGCTGGAGGGAGCGCCTGAAGACCCTCTGGGTGTTTAGAAAGTCCAGGACCCTCTGAAGGGACCCTGGGGGAGGTGGGGAGGGCAGGCAGCTGGATGCCAGTGGCCATAGACTTATAAGTCTAAGTGGGGACCCTCAGCTGGTCGGTGAGGGGGCGGGGGTTGCAGGTCACAAAGTTGAGGCTGGGCCCTTCCTGCAGGGAAAAGCAGAAGAGGGAGAGTCCGTGGCAGGGGAGGCGGGTGAGTTCTCTGGACAGAGCTCAGCTGGGCCAGCAGCCACTGTGGTCCGTTGGCTGAATAGAGGGTAAGAGCAACAGGCCAAGGTGCATGAGCCTGCTGGCTGGCGGTAGTGTTTCAAAGGGTCAGAGGGGGCCAGGGACCCTGCCTTCAGTCACATGACAGCATCTACGAGGGACCTGGGAGGGAGGGGAGGGGGCCGTGTGTCCTGCCTGACCTGTGAGGTGTGTGGTGGGATGATCATGTGTATGGGACTCTCAAGCTTTTACCTAGATCACCACTTGATTGCCGACAGACAAAGGAGGTGAGACCCTATCACCCTGGCTCTGCAGTGGATTGGCTCTCTGCACTCCCAGGCTGGGAGCTGGATGCCCTGCCTGTCAGCATGACTCACACTGCAGGACAGACACAGCGGGCCCAGGATGACGTTCCTAGGCCTCTGGCTCCGAGTCCAGCCCCACACACAACCCCTCCAAGCTCGCAGCCCTACACCATAAAGGACCCACTGTGTCAGCTTGGGCATAGAGCCTGTTCCATGAGCCCCAGGCTCAGCCATGGAGGCCTTGGGGCTCCCAGGGAAGGGAGGCCAGCAGCACAAGGACAGAAAGCTGGAAGAGCAAGTCTGCAGCTCCAGAAGGGTGGGGTGAGGAGCCTGGCTCTGAGGTCCCAGGTGTGCCTCATGTGGAGCTGGCGCAGCAGGACAGGGACATAGTTCATTCAGCAGGGTGGGCGAGGCATGTACCTACCATGGCTGATGCTCCTCAGGGTCACTGAGAGTGATTCGGAAAGACAGCATGAAACCAACATGGCAGCTCACAAGCATGGCTGTAGCATGACTGAGGGTGGGGGGCACACATGCACATGGCCACGTGTGCACACACTAACACACATGCCCACAAACAACATGCATACACCTCCTTCCCTGCCACCTCCCAGTGCCCAGCACCCTCACTGGCTTGCATGTGCCACATGGGTCTGGGGCGTGCAGCCACTCGGCACACTGAAGCACACGCATGGGCAGAGTCACAACACAGATGCTCCCACACAGAGTCACCAGCTCCCGGCACACTCATGCCTGGCGTGCTCAGAGGACAACCCATGCTGCTCATGGAGACAGGGCTTGCTCGCTAATGTCCAACTGTCATTTCTCCACCTAAGAGCCTTCCTACTGCCCACAGCACTGAGCCCCATCAAGTCAAACTCTTCAGACTTTGAAGGTTCTCCACCCTATGCCCACCCCCTACAGAGCGCTTCCTCATTCTGTCTCTGTTCCCTGCTTTGGCCAGTGGCTGTCCTCGGTGCCCACACTATACCTCTGCCCACACTGCCCACACTGCAACTCTTTATCCAGATACCCTCCAATTCCTTGCCAGGTAAGCCTCAGTCATGCCCCAGACCACAGTGAAGTCAGCCTGCCTTGAGGAAGCTCTCCCAGACTGCTCTTTTCCCCAAGGCAGGGCCATGAGTTGCCAAATGTCTCCTGTGTGTCAGTGAAACTGCAGTCGGAGCAGGCATCAAACCTTACCGTAGACCTGGGCACCAAATACCCTGAAGAGACTGAACTCACATGGGCAGTTAGCAAAGTGCCACTACGGCCGCATCTGCAGTTAACACCACATCCCTGTGGCCACTGTCTCCCTTGATCCCCACAACCACCCTGGGAGAAAGGCAGAAGGTCATCATTTGATAGAAGCCATGCTGAGGCTCTGGGAGGGAAAGGGACTTGCCTAGAGGCCCAGGGTGAGGCAGCATCTCTGGACTCCCAGTGCAGTGCTCTTGCCCAGTACCATGCTGCCTGCCACTACCCGTCTACACTGGTCATCAGGAGGTCACAGGGCAAGCCCCAATCCCTGCCTCATTTTGGTTTATGGGCTCTGGACCCACAGCCCTACCCTCCAGTCATCTGGAGCCCAAAACAGATGCTATTGTTTCTCCTTAGAGACTTCGGCCAGTGGAAACAGGACACACTGGGAATTGGAGTGAACGTCCTTGAAGAGGGCCATGGATCAGCAAGGCCGAGACAGAGGATGCGGCAGTACGCTCTTCCCGAGAAATCTGTGGGAGTGAAGCAGGCTTCAGGCATCTCCCATCCCTGTCCCTGTAGCCACCCCTACCACATGGGTGTAGACCTAGTAGGGTGGGGGGTCTGGGTGGGGGGTGGAGGAAAAAATCAGATTGCCTATGGCCCTCAGGCTCCTTCCCCAGCTGCTTCCATCCTAGCCCAGGCCTGGGAGCCATTCTTACACTCTCACGCTCGTGTGCATGCCCACACATGCATGAGATGGTCACACAGTCACAGCCTGGCCTCTGCTTCTGTGGGCCAGTGGCCAGACAACCCCTGAGATGGCTCAAAGGAGTCAGGAGTTGGAAATGGGGACATCAGAGTAGCTGAAGGAAATCCACACACTCAGAGCAGATCCGGGTTCAGACTCTCTGACCTGAGGTAGGCTCCCCAGGGGCTGAGGGGAGTTGGACAGAATGGAGGATGCAGGACAGAGAGAAGAAGAAAGGAGGAGGAGTGCAACATGTGGGCAGCTGCCCAGTGAAATTAGAGGGAAACGCCATGCAAGTGCTGGACAGAAGGGGCAGGTGGGACCAGTCCCATAGCCCCCTCCTTAGAAACAACCCCCTCTGGACTCAGCGCTCCCTCGGGGGCAGGCTCCGCCAGCCCTTGGCCACATGTGGTTCCAGTACTGAGGGTGTGAGTGCCTGGAATGGAGACAGTCGGTTCTGGCGGCCAGGTTCGATGCTCTGGAATCCAGCACCATTTCCCTCCTGGCCATGCCCATCCACCAGCCTCTCCCATACATTCAGCCCCTATGCACCCAGGGACCCCGGTAGGGAGAGGGCCGGAGGGGTCAAGGGAAGCCCCAGCCTGGAGGGTACAGGGGCGCTTCCCCCAAGATGGACCCAGCAGGCAGAGGCCCAGGAGCAGGGATCTGGGCTGGGTTGGGGACACGGCGGGGCTTGGCACTGTGTCCTAGGGCTGAACTTGGGAGACCTGCGGACCAGTCTTTTACTCCCACAATCAACTGAACTAGTTTTTTTTTTTCCACATGGAGTCTCACTCTGTTGCCCAGGCAGGAGTGCAGTGGTACGATCTCGGCTCACTGCAAACTCCGCCTTCCAGGTTCAAGTGATTCTCCTGCCTCAGCCTCACCAGTAGCTGGGATTACAGGCACCTGCCACTATGCTTGGCTAAGTCTTTATTTTTAGTAGAGACGGGGTTTCACCATGTTGGTTAGGCTGGTCTCAAACTCCCGACCTCGGGATCCTCCTGCCTCCGCTTACCAAAGTACTAAAATGACAAGCATGAGCCATCGTGCCTGGCCCACTGAACTCTTCTTGTCAAGGTCATCAGTAGCCTCGGTGCTGCTGGACCCTATGGTTATTCTCAGTTCTTCTCTTATTTAGTCTCTCAGGAGCACTTGACCTGTTGATCACTCCTTCCTCCTGGATACACTGCCTTCATTTGTACTGGCGAGAACATACTCTCCTGGTGTCCCTTCTACAGCACGGGTTTGTCCTCTTCTCTCCAGTAATTCTTAACATTAGCGTGACCACAGCAGAGTGGTCTTGTCTTTTGTATCCATAGTCCTCTGATGGTCTCATCCAGACAAATGACTTCCAATACCACTCATGCTAGTAATGCCCAATTTTTAAAATCTCCAACCCTTTTAAAAACACTCCTAACTTGACTGGGTGTGGTAGCTCACACCTGTAATCTCAGCACTTTGAGAGGCCAAGGCAGGTGGATCACCTGAGGTCAGGAGTTCAAGACCACCCTGGCCAATATGGCAAAACCTCATCTCTACTAAAAACACAAAAATGAGTTGGGCTTGGTGGCAGGCACCTGTAGTCAAAGCTACTCAGGAGGCTGAGGCAGGAGAATCACTTGAACCCGGGAGGCAGAGGTTGCAGTGAGCCAGGATTGCATCATTGCACTCCAGCCTGGGCAACAGAGCCAGACTTCATTTCAAACAACAACAACCAAAAAGAAAACAAAAAACTCCTAACTCAATATATATTTATCCTGGACATCTCCCCTCAGAAGTCTAATGGCTGCCTCCAACCCAACATGTCCCAAATTAAATTTATGAGCCGGGCATGGTGGCTTATGTTTGTAATCCCAGCACTTTGGGAGGCTGAGGTAGGAGAATTGCTTGAGCCCAGGAGTTCAAGACCAGCCTTGACAACATAGTGAGACCCCCATCTCTACAAAAAGTTTAAAAATTAGTGTTTGGGCGCAGTGGCTCATGCCTATAATCCCAGCACTTTGGGAGGCTGAGGTGGGTGAATCACTCGAGGTCAGGAGTTCGAGACCAGCCTGGCCAACATGACAAAACCTGGTCTCTACTAAAAATACAAAAATTAGCCGGGCATGGTGACCAGCACCTGTAATCCCAGCTACTTGAGAGGCTGAAGCAATGAGAATCGCTTGGACCTGGGAGGCGGAGGCTGCAGTGAGCCAACATCGTACCACTGCACTCCATCATAGGCGACAGAGCGAGACTCTGTCTCAAAAAAGACTAATAATAAAATAAAAAATAGGTGAGACACGGTGGCTCACACCTGTAATCCCAGCACTTTGGGAGGCCAGGTGGGTGGATCACAAAGTCGAGAGATCAAGACCATCCTGGCCAAGATGATGAAACCCCGTTTCTAATAAAAAAAAAAAAAAAAAGAAAGAAAAACAAAAATTAGCTGGGCGTGGTGGCACACACCCGTAGTCCCAGCTACTCAAGAAGGTGAGGCAGGAGAATTGCTTGAACCAGAGAGGTGAGGTTGCAGTGAGCCAAGATTGCACCATTGCACTCCAACCTGGTGACAGAGTGAGACTCTGTCACAATAAATAAACAAACAAATAAATAAATTAATTAAATAAAAATCAGCTGGGCATGGTGGCATGTACCTGTAGTCCCACTACTCAAGAGGATCCCTTGGGGCTGGGAGGTTAAGGCTGCAGTGAGCCCTGGTCGTACCACTGCACAGCAGCCTGGGCAACAAGGTGAGACCCTATCTCAGAAATGAAAATGAACAAAAAACAAGTATCAGTCCTTTGCTTAAAACGCCGAAGTATCCACCTCTCAACATAAAAGCCAAGTCTTTTCAAGGGGCTACAAGCTCTTTAATGTCTCCCTCTCCTTCTTGCCCACTCTGCCCCAGCCGAGACAGCTTTCTGACTCTTCTGACATGCCAGGCACATTCCCGTCTTAAGGCTTTTCCACTGTGTCCCCTTCCTGAAATGTTCTCCCCCTGGATAGCCACACGTGGCTTAACCCCTGTAAAATAGCACCTTCTCAGTAAGACCTGCTCTGCCATACACTCCTTTGAAATGATTCCCATCCTCACCCCAAGCTCTGCTTAGTTTCTATAAGCTGCTCAGTTCTGTTTCATAACGCATCCCCTGCTAACATACACACTTTACTTATTCTTGATGTTTATGGTCTGGGAAGAAGGAAATTATCCAAGAGTCCTGCTGCAGACACATTGAGTAAGGGCTGATGATGGAAGACAGTGGGGCTGAGGGAAAATGAAGGGTAGGGATGAAGTAGAAACTAGAAGAGAATTGCATGAACATAATGAGTTATGAGTTAATATCCAGAATATGCCAAGAATACCTTCAGGCTGACTCTGAGTGCCCTGCCTAGGAGTTATTCCTGCTCCCCAAGGAGAAGAAAAAAAAAAAACTTCAAATCTATTAGATTAGGCTGGGCATGGTGGCTCACATCTATAATCCCAGCACTTTGAGAGGCAGAAGCAGGTGGATCGCCTGAGGTAAGGAGTTTGAGAGCAGCCTCACTGCAGCCAACATGGTGAAACCCATTTCTACTAAAAATACAAAAATTAGCAAACCATGGTTGTGTGTGGCTGTGGTCCCATCTACTGGGGAGGCTGAGGCAGGAGAATCACTCGAACCTAGGAGGTGGAGGTTGCAGTGAGGTAAGATTGTACCATGGTACTCCAGCCTGGGCAACCAAGTGAGACCCCATCTCAAAAAAAAAAAAAAAAAAAGGCAGAGCACAGTGCTTCACCCTGTAATCCCAGCACTTTGGGAGGCCGAGGCTGGTGGATCACAAGGTCATCAATTTGAGATCAGCATGGACAATATAGTGAAACCCCATCTCTACTAAAAATAGAAAAATTGGCTGGGCGTGGTGGTGAGCGCCTGTTGTCCCAGCTACTCAGGAGGCTGAGGCAAGGGAATAGCTTGAACCTGGGAGGCAGAGGTGGCAGTGAGCTGAGATTGCTCCACTGCACTCCAGCCTGGGTGACACAGCAAGACTCTGTCTCCAAAAAGAAAGAAAGAAAGAGAGAGAGAGAAAATCAATTAGATTTTTGAAAACAAACGATCTATATTAGTTTTCTATTTTAGATACAGGATCTTGTTCTGTTGTCCAAGCTGGAGTGCAGTGGTGTGATCACACAGCTCATTGCAGCCTTGAACTCCTGGCCTCAAGGGATCTCCCCGACTCTTACCTCCAAAATCCCACCAGTAGCAGTAGCTGGGACTATAGGTGCTGTAACCATGCCTGGCTTTTCTTTTTTTTGGTAGGGACTGAGTCTCACTATGTTGTCCAGGCTGGTCTTGAACTCTTGGGCTCCAGTGATCCTCTCACCTTGGCATCCTTAAGTGTGAGATTACAGGCATTAGCCACCATGCCCAGCCTGGTGATGTTTTCTTACACTGGCTAAGTTCATGAGTATTTATTATACTTTATAATTTACATGCTATGTATATTATTTTCCAGCTATGGAATCCTTTATATATATAAAAGTGTCTTGTTCCGCCAGACACATCTGTGTCAGGCCAGATAGTCATAGGTTCATAAGAACTTTATATATATATATATTTTGGAGACAGGGTCTGGTTCTGTTGTGCAAGCTGGGGTGTAGCAGCACGATCATAGCTCACTGCAGCCTACAAGTCCTGGATTCAAGTGATCCTCCTCCCTCAGCCTCCCAGGTAGTCAGGACTACAGGCACGCACTACAATTCCTGATTATTATTTTTTTTTAACAGAGGCGGGATCTCATTTCTTTTTTATTTTTATTTATTTATTTATTTTGCCTAGGCTGGTCTTGAACTCCTGGCCTCAAATGATCCTCCCACTTCAGCCTTCCGAAGTGCTGGAATTACAGGACTGAGCCATGGAGCCTGGCCCGCAAGCATTGTATTGTAAAAGACAATGAAAAACACACAAAACAAAAATGATCAGAGAGAAGCTAGGTGGCGTCAAATGCCTCGGCAAAAAGGGGTTAGGGCTGCAGCGCTACAATCAGATGTAACTTACAGATACAACTAGCCCAGACAGCGTTAAACTTGTTAACTGAATGCTTGGTGGCCAGAAATCCATGTCAGGATAATTCATTTGAGCACAGACTAAAGGGTTTGGACTTGCACTTACAGTCCAAGTTTCTCAAACTTGCTGGGTTTTATGAATCCTCTGACACTCCTTAGTAATACAGATTTCCAGGTGGCTCCCTTATAGATCCCGATTCCGTGCTCCTAGGAAGCAGCCAGGCAATCAGTATTTCATGGATTCGGTGCCACCCGGTCCAACTTGACAGTGAAAACCCGCTCCGCCTGCCAGATGAAGGACCTGACGCTGGCGGGCAGCGAGGACTGCCGGGTCAGCCCCAGGGGAGCAGGTGGCAAGCAGCTCCACCGCAGGAGCCCAGTGGAAGTTAGTACAGTAAACCCAATCAACAAGCCGCAGTCACCCCTATTCCCCAAAAATGGCCTCTTCAGCTCTTGCAGGGGAGAATCTGAAAGCCCCAAAGGGCCGAAGTCTAGGAGGAAATGATACCTGCAGAAAGAGATGCAGTCTTGGTTATTGAAAACCGCCCGGAGACTCCTAGGGACCCGCCCCCACCCTTCGGTGCTTCTACCCTTTCCGTCAGCAAACGCTAAGAAAAGAAGAAACTGGAGATGCCAGTGCAGAGGCGTGGTCCCACTCTGACCAATGAGAAGTGAGGGCGTGACCTTAAGCTTTTCTTTCATTGGCCCAGGGTCCCAGGGCTTCCAGGTCTTGACACGGTGCGACAGAGATTGCGCAGGCGTCAGAAAGCGCTCTCAGCGTCGGGTCCTGCAGCTGAGGCTTCCGCCATCATGGTGCGGAAGTTTAAGTTCCACGAGCCGAAGCTGCTGAAGCAGGTAGACTTCCTGAACTGGGAGGTCACCGATCACAACCTGGACGAGTTACGCGTGCTGCGGCGTTACCGGCTCCAGCGGCGAGAGGACTACACACGCTACAACCAGCTGAGCCGTGCAGTGCGTGAGCTGGTGCAGCGCCTGCGCGACCTGTCCGAGCGCTACCCGTTCCGCTGCGCTACTGGACAAGCTGTATGCTCTCGGCGGTGCCCACGCGAGGTTCGCTGGAGCTCTGCGACTTCGTCACGGCCTAGTCTTTCTGCCGCCGCCGCCTTCCCACCGTGCTCCTCAAGCTGCGCATGGCGCAGCACCTTCAGGCTGCCGTGGCTTTTGTGGAGCAAGGCCACATACGCGTGGGCCCTGACGTGGTTACCGACCCGGCCTTCCTTGTTACGCGCAGCGTGGAGGACTTTGTCACTTGGGTCGACTCGTCCAAGATCAAGCGGCACGTGCTGGAGTACAACGAGGAGCGCGATGACCTCGATCTAGAAGCGTAGAGGCTCTCCCACTCTCCACGGTTTTACAGATGGGAAAACTGAGACCTGATGCTGGAGATTCTGAGGGTGCTCTCCCCAAGGGTGTCAGACGGTCATTGGGTTTTTTTGTTTTGTTGTTTTTTTGGAAACAGAGTCTAGCCCTGCCGCCCAGGCTGCAGTGCAGTGGCACAATCTCGGCTCACTGCAACCTTCGCCTACTGGGTTCAAGTGATTCTTCTGCCTCAGCGTTCCAAGTTGCTGGAGCTACAGGCACCCACGCCCGGCTGATTTTATATTTTTAGTAGAGACTAGACTTCATCGTGTTGGCCAGGCTGGTCTCAAGCTCCTGACCTCTAGTGATCCCACCCGGTTCGGCATCCCAAACTACTGGGATTACAGGCATGAGCTACCGTGCTCCGCCCTAATAGGCTTTGAAAACCACTTTGACTATTGTGAAAAGACTGAATTCAATGTAGACCTGCATCCCTGGCTGTGTGGGGGGCAATGAGGTGTTGAGTTTTCCAGGTGAGATATAATGGCTTGGATCGGGGGTCAGGTGGGGCTGGAGAAAAGTAATTGGATTCCAGTTTGTTTCGGAGGCTGTAATGGGTGCCCTTGATACCTTAGCCAAATCCACTTTACCTGGGCAGGATGCTGTGAGTTTTGGCTGCCCTCATCTGGAGAACTGGCTCTGCTGACTTGGGCCTCTTTCTCCAAAAGGATACACCCTTCATCACCACCACCACTCACTGGCAGCCAAGGGCTGACCAATATTAGGAACAAAAGGCTCAGCCCCAAAGCCCCACCTCGAAGCAGGGCAGCCCTAGCACAGAGCCCCTGTGCAGCAAGCTGAGCATAAAGCTGGCTGAGCCCACATCCTTGCTTTGTTCTGTCTTCTTTCCTATCCTGTTTCCCTCACCCCTTTGAGGTTTTACCTGAAGAGCACCCCCTAGACAAATGGCATGTACTCAGATCCCTGCCTCAGGCTCTATTTCTAGGGAACCCAACCTAAGACTGAGGAGGTGACGGGATTAGTGGCTGGTAAATAGGATATGAGGATTGAGGAGGGGAACAGGCGTGTCTCCCTTTCTCTACCTAGTTGTTCTAGACAGAACCTGCTCAGCAAAAGTGAAGGTGCCCACAGTGCTATCACAGAGCGCTGTAACAAGGTGATGTGGCAGATGGACTCTTGTGCAGGCCCTGTTGTCTGATGAGGTCCAGGTAACTCTGGCTAGGTCTGGAGAATAAAAATTATAGGGTCCAGGCATGGTGGCTCGTGCCTATAATCCCGCCACTTTGGGAGGCCGAGGCAGGCAGATCCCTTGATCCAGCAGTTCGAGAGCAGCTGGGGCAACATGACAAAACCCCATGTCTACAAAAAATAAGTCAGAGCCGGGCATGGTGACTCACGCCTGTAATCCCAGCACTTTGGAAGGCCAAGGCAGGCCAATCAGGAGGTCAGGAGTTTAAGACCAGCCTGGGCAACATGGTGAAACCCTGTCTGTACTAAAAATACAAAAATGAGCTGGGGATGGTGGTGTGTGCCTGTAATCCCAGCTACTCAGTAGGCTGAGGCAGGAGAATTGCTTGAACCAGGAGCCGGGAAGTGGAGGTTGCAGATTGCGCCACTGCACTCCAGCCTGGGCAACAGAGCAAGACTCTTATCTCAAAAAAAAAAAAAAAAAAAAAGCACAGGCTTTGTTCCTAGCTTAGTGCTTGGCACAGAGCAAACACCACACAGATGCTGGATCCTATTCCAGCGGTGGAGGAGCAGAGGGGCTGCAGGGGCTACAGGGAAGAGGGGTCTTGCCCACCTCTGACTTGCTATGGGACTGGGGGCATAAGCCTCTCCATCTCTCTAGGCCTCCCTCCATCTCCGTTCTATAATAGGAAGAGGCAGGACCAGATGGCCTCTAGTTTCTGCTCTGTTTCTGATTTAGAGGAAAGGATATAGAAGAGGGCTGTCAGCCAAGCGCAGTGGCTCACGCCTGTAATCCTACCACTTTGGGAGGCTGAGTTGGGTGGATCACCTGAAGTCAGGAGTTCGAGACCAGACTGGCCAATATGGCAAAACCCTCTTCTCTACTAAAAATACAAAAATTAGCTGTGGCACATGCCTGTAATTCCAACTACTTGGGAGGCTGAGGAAGGAGAATAGCTTGAACCTGGGAGGTGGAGGTTGCAGTGAGTCGAGATGGCACCACTGTGCTCCAACCTGCACAACGCGAGCGAGAATCCATCTCAAAAAGTAAAAAACCGTGTTGTCAGCCCTTGTAAAGTAGAGAATAATTTGGAGGTGCTTCCTTGCCCCAACAGTCCCCAACCCTGGCTCAGGAAAGCTGTGCAATATTTAGGACAAACCTTGGTTTTAACATCCAAGAAAGGCCGGGCACCATGGCTCATGCCTGTAATCCCAGCGTTTTGGGAGGCCGAGGCGAGTGAATCACCTGAGGTCAGGAGATTGAGACCAGCCTGGCCAACATGGTGAAATCTTATTTCTACTAAAAATACAAAATATTAGCCTCATGTGGCTACTCAGGAGGCTGAGGCAGAAGAATTGCTTGAACCCAGGAGGTGGAGGTTGTAGTGAGTCAAGATCGGGCCATTGCACTCCAGCCTGGGAAACAAGAATGAAACTGCATCTCAAAACAAACAAACAATCCAAGAATGTGTCCCAACTTCAAAGCTCCTGGGCAGTTTGTAGAGGACATTTCCTCCCTACCTGGGGCCAGGCTGCTTCCCTGCATGGAGGGCAGAATCTCAGCAGAGATAAACCAAATCACCCATTCAGCTCATGAGCTGAAAATCAAGAGTGAAACTAGACTCCTTAAAATATAGGTCAGGGGCCAGGTGCAGTGGTTTACGCTTGTAATCCCAGCACTTCGGGAAGCTGAAGTGGGAAGATTGGGCCCAGGAGTTTGAGACCAGCCTGAGCAACATAGCCAGACCTTGCCTTTACAGAAAAAAAAAAATTAGTTGGGCATGATGGCATGCACCCATGGTCCCAGCTACTCAGGGAGGCTGAGGTGGGAGGAACACTTGAGCCTAAGAGGTCGAAGCTGCTGTGAGCTGTGGTCATACCACCACACTCCAACCTGGGGAATAGAGCAAGACCCTGTCTCAAAAAAGAAAGAAAGAAAGAAAGAAAAAATTACAGAACAGACAACATTCCATGGGATAAAAGTCAGGGATTTTGGCCAGGTGCCATGGCTCACACCTGTAATCCCAGCACTTTGGGAATCCAAGGTGGGTGGATCACCTGAGGTCAGGAGTTCAAGACCAGCCTGACCAACATGGAGAAACCCTGTCTCTACTAAAAATACAAAATTAGCCAGGTGTGGTGGCATATGCCTGTAATCCCAGCTACTCAGGAGACTGAGGCAGGAGAATCGCTTGAACTGATTGAGGTGGAGGTTGTGGTAAGTTGAGATTGCACCATTGCATTCCAGCCTGGGCAAAAAGAGCAAAACTCTGTCTCAAAGAAAAAAAAAAAAAAAAAATCGGATTTTAGCCAGGCGTATGCCTATAATACCAACACTCTGGGAAGCTGAGGTGGGTAGATTGCTTGAGTCAAGAGTTCAAGATCAGCCTGGGCAACATGGTGAAACCCCATCTGTACTAAAAATGTAAAACCTCAGGCCAGGTGCGGTGGATCACACCTGTAATCTCAGCACTTTGGGAGGCGAGGCGGGCGGATCACCTGAAGTTGACTAGCCTGACCAACACGGAGAAACCCCATCTCTACTAAAAATACAGAATTAGCCAGGTGTGGTGGTTCATGCCTATAATCCCAGCTACTCAGGAGGCTGAGACAGGAAAATCACTCGAACCCAGGAAGCAGAGGTTGCAGTGAGCTGAGATCATACCACTGCACAATCTCAAGCCTTGCCAACAAGAGTGAAACTCTAAATTCTTGCACTCCAGCCTGGGAAACGGGAATGAAACTTCATCTAAAAAAAAAAAAAATCCAAGAATGTATCCCAGCTTCGAAGCTCCTGGGCAGTTTGTAGAGGACATTTCCCCCCTATCTGGGGCCAGGCTGCTTACCTGCATGGAGGGGCAGCCTTGGCAACAAGAGTAAAACTCTGTCTCAAAAAAAAAAAAAAAAATCAGGGGTTTTGTAGCCCATAAGGGCTGAAGGCCTAGATTAAAATCTTCACCCAGTCACCCTCTGCCTGTA